GCATGCCTACGGATTTTCCTCCTCTAAAAACTACGTGCGTGTTATGGTCAGGTGCGTGTTATAGAGCGAAAAATACAGTACATATTCTCTGTGCAGCTGCAATGCATTTCTATATAGGACCTGCCTTCCCAAACTGTGTTCAGATTTCTTACAAATCATGTAAGACACCCAGTCCACCCAAGAGCCTGTGCAAACATTCCAGACCCTCCAAGTGTCCCTATTTTCGGGTGGACAGTCCCAGATTTACAGATGCCATCCCAGTTTCCGATCTGATCCCAGAATGTCCCACCTTTCATCAGAGAAATGTTGGAGGGTGTCTGTGACCCCCTGAACCAATGAGATAAGTAACTAAACAACCTTTAGAAGACATCTGAAGGTAGCTCTGTATAGGGAAGTGTGGGTCATTAGCAGGAAAAATAAGGTGGTGGCCAGTCATTAATCCCGTACCCCTCAACTGTCCTGGTAAAACCTGGACATGATGTTTTCTCACACAAGAGCACAGTGTTCATTTTGGGAGCTGAGAACTCGCCCTGAAAAAAGCACTTTTTCGGGACTGAAATCTCATGCCGCACCCTCAACACAGGAAGTTAGCCTGGCCTATGCTTTAACACTTGCTGGACCCAGGTCTTAGGATGATCTTGCATACAGAGTACTTCCTCCCCCCACCCCTCAAAAACCCCCACCTCATAACACTACTATAGTTGCCAAATGTCACTTGAAAATATGCAATTTACGCACTGTTTCAGCAGGGCAAAATGTGAGCTGAGCCACAAGCTTTTACTCTAGTCTTTTCAACCAACTAATGGCAGGAAGTTCATGTTAGCAATTCTGACGTATTTTTATCTATTAAAAAAAATCTGGTATCTCTGTTTTATTTTGTTGTTGCTGCTGCTGCTATGTGCTGTTTTTGCTACTGTTTTATTGAGAGGACTACTTGTCATTTTCTTGTATGCTTTTAAATTAAGCTGCCTTGAGTTTGGTTTTTTTCCCCATTCTAAGGTGGGATAAAAATGGGGTAATAATTATACAGTACATATGTATGCATTATATGCACTGGCAGCCAGGAGGTGGCAGTAAAGCATAATAGGAATTGCCTTTTCTGAACTGAAAACCAGTGAACCTCCATCGGTGCTAGTGATAAATCAAATATGAGGAGTGGCATGTGCTTTGCTCAGTGGTGAAGAAAAGAGCTCTGCCTGTTATTCCCAGCATCACGATGCTATTGCTAAGAATTAGGCTTGCTAATTATAGTTTCCTATAGAGGTATTTATGCTTGGTGTGCATGTCATGAGAAGAAAAATGTCGCAAAGGGAGAGAAGAAAAAACTGAAGGGGAAAACAATCGCAGGCCAAAAATATAGGACTATGTAATTCAAGGATGGCAAACTTGTGGTCTTCCAGACTTTGTTTGACTCCAAGCCCCATCAGCCCCAGACAATGGTCAGGGATGATAGGATTTGTAGTTCAGCAATGTCCAGAGCCTACAGATTCTCCATCCCTGATGTGTTCTGTTGAAACCAAACCAAGTCTAATGAGCAGTGGCGTAGTGTGGGGGTGCAGGGGGGGCCGGCCGCACCGGGCGCAACATCTGGGGTTAGGGCAAATCCACGGGTTAGGGGGCGCAAATCCACAGGTTAGGGGGCGCAAATCCACGGGTTAGGGGGCGCAAATTACTTGCCTTGCCCCGGGTGCTGATAACCCACGCTACGCCGCTGCTAATGAGGAACAGTAGAGAGAGTTGGGTACGTTTAGACTAGGCATCCCCAACCTGCGGTCCTCCAGATGTTTTGGCCTACAACTCCCATGATCCCTAGCTAACAGGACCGGTGGTCAGGGATGATGGGAATTGTAGTCCAAAACATATGGAGGGCCGTATGTTGGGGATGTCTGGTTTAGACTGTAAAAGAGTAGGCCGAGAGGAGATATGATAGGCATTGTCAAATATTTCAAGGGCTGTCATGTGTGCAAGAAGGAGCAAGCTTGTTTTCTTCTGCTCCAAAGGGTAGGACCCGCAGCAATGGCTTCAAGTTACAAGAAAGGAGATTCTGTCTAAACACCAGGAAGAACCTTCCGACAGTAGGAGCTGTTAAGACAGTGGAATGGACTCCTTTGGAAGGTGGTAGACTCTCCTTCCTTGGAGGTTTTCAAGCAGAAACTCTACAATTCTACAACTCTACAATTCTATGATTCTACAAAATCAGCATTTAATAAGTTTGTGTCTGTGCTAGCTAAATGCACCCGAGTACTTACTTATCTGCAATAGTATACTTTTTTTGGCAGTGCTCCAGCAGCTATAAAGCTCTTTCCCAGACAAGAGCTATTCATGGCACAGGGCACTAGAAAACACCTTTCACACCCTTTCGGACTGCAGTGAAAACATCAGAGTTTATTTCTGAGTAAATATGCATAGGATCAGGCAGCATGTCTATTGATGGGAAGACAGTACTATACCTTTGCAAGATTTGCTTCAGGGAGTGGAGCACAAGGCCAGCAGCTGCGCCAGTATTTGCTCTCTTGGATTATTAGCACTCCAGATTTGCCTGTAACTAAGGGAGAAATCAGGCTAAAGGCAAAACCAAACAAGTCAGGCGGACTAAGGTGTGTTTTTGTTTTCAAAAGGTTTGCACGCACTAAAGTTTGGAAGCCTTTCTCTGTATGTTTGCATAACTCCCCACCCCACATCAAATTTCCTTTCAGCTGCCTACGAATTTCCCCTTCTGGAATAAGATTCCCTTCCCTATTTGTCATCAAAAAAATGAGTTTAAATCTTTAAAACGCAAAATGATCAATGCAATCGTCAGGGCTGAAACACAGCTACGCAGCCTCAGTAAGTTCTCCCAACTAGACAACATCAGGAAGAACTTTCTGTCAGTAAGAGCTATTGGACCCTGGAATAGATTCCCACGAGGTGGCAGACTCTCTTTCCTTGGAGGTTTTTAAGCAGAGATTGGATGGCCATCTGTCATGGATGCTTTAGCTGAGATTCCTGCATTGCAGGGGGTTGGACTAGATGACCCTCAGAGTCCCTTCCAACTCTATTCTATTATTCCATTAAATCAGCATCTAATAAGTTTGTGTCTGTGGTAGCTACATGCACCCAATAACCTTCTTATTTGAAATACAGACACACCTCGGGTTGAAGTGGGTTCGGGATAAGTATTTTCGGGTTGCGCGCTGCGGCGACCCAGAAGTAACTGAGCGTGTTACTTCCGGGTTTCGCCGCTCGCGCATGCACAGACGGTCAAAATATCACGCACATGCGCAGAAGCAGCAAATCGTGACCCGCGCATGCACAGACGCAGGTTGTGTTCGCTTCTGGATGCAAACGGGGCTCTGGAACGGATCCCGGTCGCATCCAGAGGTATACTTTTTTTTTTTACTGCTTTATACTTTTTTTTTTCTTTTTTGCAGCGCTCCAGCAGCTATAAAGCTCTTTCCTGGGGTGGAGCTATTCAGGGCACAGGGCACCAGAACCCACCCTCAAGGTCCCTTCCAACTAGGGTTGCCACCTTTGTTCTGGCAAAATACAGGACAGACCTTGGAGGTTGAGGGGGGATGATTTTATTATTATTGTTGTTGTTGTTGTTGTTATTTTATTTTTGTTCATCTGGTGCTGAAGTGGCTTCAAAGCAATCCATTACCATCTATTGCAGCCTCACAGGATGGCCCCTCTGGGATTGGTCACATGCACACACAGGCACACAAAGTTGCAAATTCATCTGAACTTGGCTACACAGATACATGACTTTGTTTTGCACCTTTCAATCACATGCATTTCGATAACTTGGGAGGGAGAGGGAGAGGGAGAGGGAGAGGGAGAGGGAGAGGGAGAGGAGGGAGGGAGAGAAAGAAAGAAAGAAAGAAAGAAAGAAAGAAAGAAAGAAAGAAAAGCAGACTGACTCAGCTATACAGCTGCAAATAAAACGTTTTAAGTGTGTTTCAAGTGCGATATACAATGTGACATTAGATGGCGATGGTAAGCCTTATGGAAAATTCAATGTGTTTTTAAAAACGCTTTTTTTAAAAAAGCATTTTCAGAGCGGCTTTTATATGTGTGTAGATTCCACCCTGAAGTACATAACAAAACTGTAACATTTTACATTGAAAGTAGGGTTGCCATATTATTATTTTTTGAAAACCCCTGAATTGTTGAGCTTCTTTTAGGAAAACCCCAAAATTATTGAGATTTTAAAAAGATTTCACAATCGACGCTTGCGAAAGATCTAATAGGAAGTGCTGCCTTTAGGAAATTGCCCCAGACATCAATTCTGCCTTTGAAATCCCATTTAATGGCAGCTCTTGTCCTAAATGTGACAGTTCCATGATGCCCTCATGCAGTTACAGATAGATACACTGAAACAGAAGTTGCCAGATCCTTCTATATAGTGAGAAGGTGGGGAGGGGTATTACTCAGAAGGGTGGTGGGAATGGGTGATTGGCAGATAGCTGTGATTTCAGTGTATCTGAAGAAGTGTGCATGCACACGAAAGCTCATACCAAGAACTTAGTTGGTCTTTAAGGTGCTACTGGAAGGATTTTTTTTGTTTTGCCCTCATGCATGTTCACTTCATCAACTCTGGCCCTCTTTGAAAAAAGTTTGGGCACCCCTGTACTAGGGAGTAAATCCCAATGAACCTAACAAGGCATACCTCAGGAAAATCCTAAAAAAACGCTCAACAGCTGACAGTTTTGGTGGTTTCCTTAAAAAAAAATGCTCAACAATTGTGGTGGTTTCCTTACATTGCTTGCGCAAAGAACGGTTCTTCAGATTCTGAATTTTGACTTCTTCTTAAAAAGAAGTTTGACAACTTTGTGATGTTTTGAAACGTGGCAACCATTGGCCAATTTTGGTTGGTTTCTGTGAGGGGGAGAGAGAAAGCGCTCAACAACTGTGGCGGTTTCCTTAAAAAACCAAAAACTCGACAACTTTGCTTTTTGCAATATAAACGCCCTATTCCGGGCAGGCTCTGAGAGAAGCGTTGCGCGTGGCCATTTGAGGGGAGCCCGTCGCAGGAGGCGGGCGATGGCGTTGGAGACGCGTCGTGAGAGGAACGAGGCGCGGAGAGAAGCAGCCCCACGGAGTTTTTCCCTCGGTCCGGTCCGCTTTTCTCCTCCGGGCGCGGAGAAGGGAAAAGCTCCGCCTTCGGACGACATGGTTACCTAACAGGCGGGCGCCAAAGAGCGCGCGCAGGGGCTGGACGAGGGAGGCGCCTGGGCCGGGAAGGACGGAGCAGCCCCGGGGCAGAGGCGCGGCGAGGAAGAGGGCGAAGGGGGCGAGCGAAGGGCCTTGGCGGGTAAGGCTGCTGGGGGCGCCGGCAGGGTGGGCGCGGGAGAGAAGGGGCTGGGCGGTGGGCTGCAGCGCTGGGCTTCCGAGGCCCCCCCCCCGGCCAGGCTCTTTTGGATAATCATGTTTTATTCGTTTTCAATTACAATCCAATCATAGCCTCATTAGAACACCCCCAGTTTTTATAACGCAGTTATTCACACCAATCGTTCAAATGCCGAATTATAGAATTTAGATAAGGTGGTGGGGGGTCACGTGCTAGAATTTTAAAAAAATCTTGATTGAAAGTTCCATAAAGTACACAATTCTGTGTGCGCTAAACATGGCGAGACGTAAATAAAAGAGAAAGAGGACCCGTGGAGAAGGGAAAAGAAAGGGGGGAGCGGGGGAAACCCAAAACTGCATATTTTATAAGGTGTTTTTTTTCCTTCACCAGATCTTAACCTATTACAGTATTTGTAAGAAAGGATTCCAAATATCATTGAATTTGTCTGCGTTTATGTGCAAGTTGTTCATATGTTGCAAGTTTGTATAAGTCTTCTATCCAATCGTAGAAGGGAGCCACATTTTTATTTTTACAATTCCCCGAATGTCCCACTTTTCCTTAGGATGTTCCTTGTATTATTATACATAGAATTTTCACCAGAGAAGTGTTGGAGGCTATGGAGTTATCCAACACTCCTGGCCATCCTGTATAGGGAAGTTTTTTTAAATTTAAAAATAAGAAGTTTTTGGGGTTTTTAAATATATGTTGTGCTGGGCCTATTTTAATTGGAGAAATGTCGAAGGGTATGCATCTTGTAATTTCTTGTTATTTTCATTATTTAATTTCTGAAACAAGAGGTGCCCAGCTGCAAATTTGTCACATTGACACCGCATCCATCTTCAGGGAACTTGGAGTTGTTTGTGTGCATTGCGTAATGTACACATATTGACTGGAAACAGGGTTGCAAATATTTTCTGACTCCCACCCCCCAAAAATTATTATTCTGTATGTTCCAGGCTGCATTAAAATGTAGCATTATAATATTGGGGGGCGGGGCATGATCCTTGGCTCAAATTAAGCTTTATTGTACAGGTTGGGTTTTAGATGAATTATAACTCATCATTTCTCTTGTGTAAGCAGGTGGGGGTATGATTGTCTGCATTTACTATTTGCGAAAATTCAGCCACGTTCCCACGGAGCAATTGAATTGTAGAATTGGAAGGGAGCCAGAGGATCATCTGGTCCCAACCCCCCGCAATGCAGGAATATCCAGCCATCCCATTCGAGAATCGAACCTGCAACCTTTGCGTTATCAGGTCCACACTCTAACCAACTGGCTCACGTGGGCTTACAAAATCAATATGTGCTACAGTTACGCTTTCCAATGTCATAATAGAGGTGAAATAATGGGGGATACATTTTTCATTGGCTGTAACTGTCTCTTCTGATTTCCTTTGGTAGGAGGGCCATTGCCGAGGGGTCAGAAACACACGCCTTGCGTGCGGATGGTCCTAGATTTAACACCTTTCATTTCCAGTTAAAAATGGAACTCATACAATGGAGCTGGGAAGGGAAATCATGGAATGCTGCTGTCAATAAGAGTAGACTGTACTAAACTGATGGACCAATAATATCTAAGACATGCCAATATGGTAAAAATTAGACGTTTGTGAGGTTGCTTTTGAAATGCACGTTGCATTCTTCTTATAACTGGACTTTTGTTTTAGGAAACTCACATTCTACCGGGGATCGTATTTGCTGGCAACACTATCAGCAGCTATGGCTTCTGCCCCAGGTGATGATAAAGTCCAGGCCTCTTCGGTAGGACAAAAGAACCAGGTTTGTTCTTTCTGTTTGGAATTATTATTATTATTATTATTATTATTATTATTATTATTATACATTCTAGCAGAGGCAAATCTGATGTAGTCTTGATTATCACGTGGAAACAGAAGGGGCTCTGCACTTCAACCTTTCCCTTTTCTAGTGCAAAAAGTGCTCCGCATAATGCAGGTCTAAGGATAAGGAGGAGGCAGAATAGCTTCGCCTCTCATGGAAAGTCGAAGATCCCACAAACCCTGGGGAGATTAAATAGGATTCATCTTACTTTTATGCTGCTAGCAGTTAAAGAACCGTAGATAACGATACTCATATCTTACCTTGCACATATTTCTGGCTCAAAGTAAATAGATGGAAACATAATCTGCACCTGCAAGGGGAAAGGGGAAGATGGAATTATGTAGCATCTGAACAAAAAGGGACTTTTAAAAGAAACTCTTTAAAGCAGGGGTGATGGTGGGAGTCTGTGGGTTTCCTGATGTTGTTGAACTGTCAGCCCCAGCTAGCACTGTCAGTGCTAAAGGATGATCATAGAATTGTAGAGTTGGGGATCCCAGGGGTCATCTAGTCCAGCCCCCTGCAGTGAGGGAATCTGAACTGAAGCATAGATGACAGGTGGCCATCCAACCTCTGCTTAGAAAGCTGCAAGAAAGGACACCTGAAGGACCACACATTTCTCCTCCATTATTAGCACCATTCATTTCTGCTGCATTTTAAACTTCATAGCACCTGTAAATTGCACATTAATCACAAACAAGCACATTATAGTCAGAGTGCGCCATCGAGTTTTAAAGCTTGATCATTTCATTTTGACATTGCATTGCATGTATTGCTAACGACAATGGTAGGATCTTTCTAACCTATTTTTGCTATCTGGAAAAGTGAAATGTTTTTCTCTCTGTTTATTTTTTAAACTTTTTTGTTGAATTAAAAAAAAATGGAAACCAAAGACAATGAAATGAACGGCAGACTATAGATGCTTTATTCTCTTAAGGAATGAGAGGGTAAACCATATTTTTCTTATAAACGTGTTCATGTTTTTATTTTAAGAGCCCGCTCCCATGTCCAATCTCAAATCTTAATTCTGATGAATTTGTAGAGATTCGTCGTCAATGTAAAGAGGAAAGCTTCTGGTACAGAGGTAGGTCTATTTGGTTTTAATGCAATGCAAAATATAATTGTATTGGTTTTTTGTTGCAGGGTGTTGTCTACCTTACAGCATTTGTTTCAGTTGTTTTATATCTTGTTTGAGAATTACCACTACTAGGCCTGCTACTAGGCCTACTACTACTAGGCCTACTACTAGGCCCATAACACCCTTCTGTTTCACAGCATTTGAATCCAAAACCTGCTGGTTTTCTTACCGGTAACATTAAGCAGACGTGACAAAGATCATTTTCAATGGCAGCATTCAGAGGTAGTAATAAATGATGGCTTATTGTCATTAGAATAAGCCTAGGCCACCCTTGGGCTTGTGCTTGGGCTGTTCCACTCTCATTTTGAACACTGCAGATACACCATTCAAAAATTTGCAGCCATTTTAGACTAACCACTGTTTAGCATTACATATGAAGCCTAAATTGTAGCTAACCTGCACTGTGGTTTATCGAAACAAGCCAGCTTCCTAAACCAAGGTTTGAACTTAACTTGTTTCAGTGAACCATAGTTTGTTTATTGCTTCATTTTTTATTTATTAAAAAAGCCCTGAAACCATCTGGCTGGGTTTCCCCAGCCACTCTGAACGGCTTCCAAAAAAAGATTAAAAATACATTAAAACATCAGTTATTAAAAACTTCCCTAAACAGGGCTGCCTTCTAAACTCAGATAGTTGTTTATTTCTTTGACATATGATGGGAGGGCGTTCCCCAGGGCGGGCACCACTACTGAGAAAGCCCTCTGCCTGGTTCCCTGTAACTTCACTTCTCGCAGTGAGGGAACCACCAGAAGGCCCTCAGAGCTGGACCTCAGTGTCTGGGCTGAACGATGGAGGTGGAGACGATCCTTCAGGTATACTGGGCTGAGGCCATTTAGGGCTTTAAAGATCAGCACCAACACTTTGAATTGTGCTCGGAAACGTACTGTGAGCCAATATGGGTCTTTCATGACTGGTGTTATGTGGTCTTGGCGGCCGCTCCCAGTCACCAGTCTAGCTGCTGCATTCTGGATTAGTTGTAGTTTTTGAGTCACCTTCAAAGGTAGCCCCATGTTGAGTGCATTGCAGTAGTCCAAGTGGGAGATAACTAGAGCGTGCATCACTCTGGTGAGACACTCCGCGGGCAGGTAGGGTCTCAGCCTGCGTACCAAATAGAACTGGTAGACAGCTGCCCTGGACACAGAATTGACCTGCACCTCCATGGACAGCTGTGAGTCCAAAATGACTCCCAGGCTGTGCACCTGCTCCTTCAGGGGCACAGTTGCCCCATTCAGGAATAGGGAGCCCCCCACACCCACCCGCCCCATCCCCCCAAAACAGTACTTCTGTCTTGTCAGGATTCAATTTCAATCCATTAGCTGCCATCCACCCTCCAGGCACTCACACAGGACCTTCACCACCTTCACTGGTTCCAATATGAAAGAGAGGTAGAGCTGGGTATCATCCGCATACTGATGAACACCGAGCCCAAACCCCCTGATGATCTCTCCCAGTGGCTTCATGTAGATGTTAAAAAGTGTGGGGGAGAGGACAGAGCCCTGAGGCACCCCACAAGTGTCTCAGGGGTCTGCACACTTATCCCCCAACACCACTTTCTGGACACGGCCTAGGAGGAAGGAGCAGAACCACTGTATAACAGTGCCCCCTGCTCCTCTGAACAGTCCAGAAGAATGTTACGGTCGACGGTATCAAAGGCCGCTGAGAGATCCAGCAGAACTAGGAAGCAGCTTTCACCTTTGTCCCTAGCCCACCGGAGATCATCAACCAGCACGACCAACGCAGTTTCAGTCTTTACAAAAAGAAGTTAAGAATTACTTCAGTTTGTCCAGGTTCAGACAGAACACTAAATTGCAGTTATTTAAAAGCGGAAATTAAAAACTGCTTCTCCTTGTAGCTGTGCTAGGAGTGCATGAGCTCAATGTTTATCATTATATCTGACCACAGTCAGTGGCCATGTTTTCATAATCACAATCTCCGTTAAATGACTTGAGATATGATCAAGGCCTTTGGCCATAGTCTGAAGGTTGTAGATCCTGGCTTGTCTTGATGCTGATAAGCCTAGTTTCCTGGTTCAGATGACATGGGAAATTATAATTAATCGGAGCCTTACTACAAAGGGAGGCTGCATGTGTGGGCAAAAGACTTGTTCATTTCTCAGCATAATAAGCTGAGATATGGTGTACGAACTTGACTGAAATCTTTGAGTCTATCGGGCTTGTAACATCCGTTTGCTGCTTCACTTGTGGTTTGTGAAGAATCTGATCTTCAAAGTTGTTTTTCTTTAGTCCACAAATGTAACATCCGAATGATCTTGTGTGAGCATGTATGATGGTAAATGTTTTTATGGGCTATTGATTTTATGGACTTTTTGTTGTTGCAAAGCTGGAGATTTCTTTGTTCCTTCCATTGCCCACCCAGGCTACAGCCCACCTAAGTCTGCACATGGGTGTCTTCTCTATGTGTTAAAGATGCATATCTGGAAGCACACGTGTATTGTGCTCATCTAACCCCTTGAACTACATCAGGGGTCTCTCACTGTTTTGGGGCTACAACTCCCATCATCCCTAGCTAGCAGGACCAGTGGTCAAGGATGATGGGAATGGTAGTCCAAAAACAGCAGGAGACCCAAGTTTGGGAAACACCGAACTAGATGGATACATGTCACCAATTTGTTGCACAGTGGTGCTCAAAACTAGAGTTGCAGCAAGCCTATTGTACTTATTTAACAGATATTAAATGTGGAGGCTGCCAGTAAGCACAGAAAATGAAAATATTAACTGTATAGCAGTGCAGAGTATAAAACCCAGTATTCGCCGAAGTCAACACCTCAGAATTCCAGCTTCAGATTTTCTAATTTGCTCTTTTCATATTTTTTTAGAACAAGCGAAATAGTTGTTAAGACCACATTTTAATGACACTATGTAGGGTGGGCAGGAGATACATCTGAAATTTATGCAAAGGCTATAATTGCTTGTTTCACTGTATGCAGCTCTTCCTCTGTCACTGGGAAGTATGCTGATCACTCAAGGATTACTTGCCAATGGTAAGTGGCTTTTTTCTTTCTTCAACGTAAAAACAAACAAACACACGGACATTTTTAGAGCACCAGCCAATCACTGCTAAAGCTTGGTAAATGCTGAGGGAAACCCAGAATAGATCTTGTGGTGGAATCTCAGCTGGGTGCTGTTAACTTTAGGTGTCAATGTATTCAACAGGTGATGTGAAATATATGGTGCTCTTACACATTGTGTAAAGGCGAGCCTAAACTTGCCACTGGGTACATTTCTCTGTTGTTATGTATGTTCAACAATGGGCTTCCTGATTTAAGAGTGCTTTATGTATTTTATCAATGGCTGCTAGCCATGATAGCTGTGGTCCTCTATCATGGTCAGGGGCAGTAATGCTCCGGTATAACAATTGCTGGAAACTGCCAAGTGGGAGAGTGTTATTGTGCTCAGGTCCTGCTTGTGGCTTTCCTAACAAGCATCTGGTTGGCCGTTGTGAGAACAGGATGCTGGAGTAGATGGGCCATTGGCTTGATACAGCTGGCTGTTCTTACATTTAGGTGTTCCCCTAAAATATAATGTGGGGTTGGTTGGTTGGGTTGTTGTTTTTTGCAAGACTTGTGAAATGTGCTGCCTTGGCTAAGCATGGTGGCATGGTTAATTTAATGCTATGGAAAACAGGTTAGGAAGTAAGCTTTATTACGGGGTAAAAATAGTCTTCACATTTTTGTATATAATTATAACTGGAAATTATACTGGGAGCACTTGGTATGTTTAAACCGGGAAGTATAACAACAACAACAATAACTTTGTTGTGTCATCAAATGATGGTCTAAAAGGCTTTTCCTAATAACTGCATTTTATTCCAGGTGTTCTCAAACCAAGCCCTAAATTTGGATCACTCCCTAAATTGGCAAGTAAGTCCAAAAACGCTTTGTAAAGTTTAAGCAGAAAAGGTGAGAACTGGCCATTGTAATTATGCTGGAATGCTGCCATGCTCGCATGATAAGTTTGGGCATGTGTGGAATCTAGTATAGCTTCTGGCTTTCCGAGTGTCAGTTTTCAGCATTTAAATTAAAGCCGTTTTGTAGACCTCATGACTGCAGAGAAAGCTTTGGAATCATGTGGTTGTTTCTGAAGGTTCTGTATTAGGCTGTAACTTTATACTGATCACTTTTATATAGTATGTAATCATTAATTACTATAGTTAGGGTTTTATCAAAATAATAGAGCAGGAAGGATATTCAACATCTGCTTAAGTAAACCTGTGCAGACCACACCTTGGTACACAACTGAAATGTTACTGTGGAGTTAGAGTGTCGCTCCTAGAAGCTGTCAACGTGCAACGGCTTCAACTGGCTGGCTAAACCAGGTAAGGGTAGCCGGTGGGTCTCAAACCCTGATGAGTTTGGGACTTTCCCCTGCATGTGAACACAGGCCCCCCCTGGATTGAGAAGCATACCTTCTGGAGAAGAAAGGACCAAAGAAAAATCCTACACAATCCAGAGTGGAGTCCCTAAGACGGTTGGATGGCACCTGTTATGCCACCTCCTGGCAACTCCTACAGCCAAGCTGGTGGCAAACATATTGCTCTGCTTTCCTTTGGACCACATCAGTGAGGCCAAGAGGCAGCCTAGGGCCTCCATACACACTGCTCACGCTTGCACCCCAGAGGCTATTTCAGTGCTGGCAATGCAGTGGTTTGGCTTCACCCGCAGAGGCACACTCCATTGTTTCCCGAGGCAGATGGATGCTAACAGAGTAGGGAGCTCCAGGCCTGTGGGCTCCAGGACTCTCGCCAGGCCATTCCCCTCATTGGGCCCTGCTCTACACCCTCCTCTTGCTTGGCTGGAGAGTGTCTGGAGGGAGGATGGGCAGGTGTGGGGTTATGTAGGTTTGGAAGGAAATGTCTGGATTTGTGTGGCTTGTGGAACAAATCTTAAGAGTCATACCGATTGTCTTGCCCACTTGGTTGCCTGTAGACCCATGTGACCTCTGGAAAGTTGCCTAGGAGAGAAAGTGGCTCAGCTTAAAAAAGAATCCCCAATTCTGATGGAGGGTCACTATCGTTAGGTGATTGAAGCAAGCAAGCGAGCAGAGTGAAGTGGAAGCCAGTGCTACTGCAGTGGAAAACAAATAACATGTCATGGACTGGTTGGACACAGAGTAATGGTGGGGAGGAAGCAGCTGGGGAGCCACCAAGGGAAGAAGGCTCAGAGCCCAGGGATTGGTGGTGGAACAATGAGTGGTCAGAGGGAGAAGACTGGGAGGAGGGAGGTATCAGAAGGGGAAGGGGTAATAGGGCTTAGTGAGCTGGGTGAGTCTGTGGCCAAGAGAAGTCCAGAATCAGAGGCAGAAACTGACACAGGAGTTTCACAACCTTCCACGGTACAAGTAAACTAGATCTCTCTGCCATTTGGTGTCCCCAACTTGGTACCAACCATCTGGTCTATGGGTGAACATATTGAGATCCTCCTTTGTAACAGAACGCGTGCTGCCTGCTGCTGTCTGCAAGGAGCCGTGGATTGTGACTTTAATCATTCACTGATATTAAAAGAGTAGAGTAGGCTATTTTAAACTCGTCACCAAACACAAGGGAGCATCCTCAGTGAAGCGGTATCTCTTTCTGGGTTTCCTGCTTTCCCAGATCAGTGTGGATTAGCAAGGCAAAATACCTGATCTGGAGAATGCTTTTCAAAGCCTGTACTACTTTATACCTGATTGCTACGTATGACAACAATTTGATCTCTCTCTGCAGTTGCTGGTGCCCTGGGCTATGGTATTGGGACAATGTCATACATAAGAACCTGTCAGAAGAAGTTTGAAAGCGCTGGTCTTAAACCGTTTGGTCCCGGATGGAAAAGGTCTGTTTGGAATAAATACAGACAAGTGACTCTTGGGTTGTATCAAGGAACCTTGTGATAAGAACACTGTCGAAAAACCACTCTTCTAGGTTACAAGAGCTCTACAAAAATCTCAATGATTTCCCATTTCCTCTGCACATCTGAACTGGAGGGGGGTGGGAGGCCCTCCAAAACAGCTTTGAAAGTGCACAGTGAGGAATATTGCCTACTCTCTCCCTTCCTATTAGTGGGAGCATCCATTGGATCAAAGGCCCTTCCTTTCACAGAAAGGAATAGAACTGCCTATCTGCACCACTCTAGAATTGTGACCATGTCTTATCAATTTATACCAAGCACTTTATCCTTCTGCACATAGCTAGATCATGCGCAAATTACTGTGTGGATAACGGGGCAGCTGACATTTTTGGTGCATTGGGACCCAGGGTGGAGGGAGTGTCAGGTGCAAAGCCCCATGTGAAGATCTCGATTTGAGAAGAATCTTGTGTAACGTTGACTCCCCCCCCCCTTCTCCTAATGTTTTAGGCACTGTCCTCATGTCTGCAACGAATGCAAAGCTAAGTTTGAAGCAAGTGCATCAAAAAACCAGAGCCTTCTGCTTCTTAAACAGGTACACACATCTTTGTAGTTTTAACAAGATTTTGGTCGCTTTTTGAAATATATCAGTATCTTGGAAATCAGTCACTATAAACAATGGAAAGAGTTATGATCTTGCTTATTGCCACATCAGGTTTAGTAAGAGGTAAAAAACTTGACTATTGTTGGCATCTTGGTTGTAGGGTGGTGGGCAGGTCAGAAATAGCACTTTCTTCTCCTTCACAAATTATTAAGTGTGCTTATCTTCGTCTGTTTGTTTTATTCTCTCCCCACACTGCTTGCCTATTTGTATTTTCTTGGCTAGCTCTGAGGGATTATGACTCACTATGTTAATGATAAAATACAACAGAGGGTAAACTCCTCCTTGGCTTTCACTGCCAAGTATTCTCTCTGACTTTAGTCTCAGTTTAACAGCAGATTTAGACAAAACAGAAGTGAGGCCGGTAGGTGCTGTCACTTCCATGCTCATTAGTATGGTGGTGTTTTTATCATTAAAAGAGAATTGTGCTGCATCTATGGCCAGTATTTCAAGTCTCTTCCAAAATGGCATTCTAAATGTGGCACTTCTTCAGCAACATCTGCAGCTGCTGCTTTAACACAATACATGAAGACTAGCTTAGAATATGGCCCAGGGTATATGGTCTGAAGGGACATGACTCTACCATCTTGCTAGAGCTAAGTCAGTCTAGGTCTGGTTGGTGCCTTCATGGGAGACCACCTGGGAACTAAATATAGGATACCTTGGGTTCCAGGATGAAAGAGAGGTGGTAGATAAATGTAAAAAGAATTTAAATAATTTAATACCGAAAACCAAGGTGCAGCTTCCAATTGGCTGCAGGAGCTTCCTGCACTCAATCGGAAGCCGCGTCAGACGTTCGGCTTCCTGAAAAGCGTTTGCAAGATGGAACACTTCACTTCCGGGTTTGCGGCGTTTAGGAGCCAAGCATTCCGACTACCACTGTACATTGTTTTGCTTCACCAGTCATGTAGGTAGTTTTCAAACAAGAGTGTTGTATGGCAGCTTGGTCTGTTAATTTAAGTCACCAGAAGGTACATTTAGCCAAAATGCTACATTTATTAAGATAACCAGTTATGATTTCTGAAACCATAGCTTACGGTGTTTTACTACTAAGTGGTGCCCAGCAGACAACCGCTAGACGAAAGTTCGTTTTTCGATCTGCTTGACAAATTTCCCTATGGGCTTGCTTCGCAAGACGAAACGTCTGCAAGTCTTGCGATTTTTTTTTCCCCCTTCTAAGCGCAGCCTAATAGCTAGGTCCGCACCCTTTAACAGCCGTAAACCCTAATAGGCAATCCGCTAATATGCTTCGCAAGACAAAAAAAACGAAGAGACTCAAAGGTTTCGTCTTGTGAGGCACCACTTACTTGAAGTCCATTAGCTCAACTACTCTCTTGACTGGGGGGTGGAATCCCAACAGTTAAGCTAGGTGACACTGCCTCCAAACTAGATTCTACCTCAAAGGGGCTGATCTTACCAATCTTTTTTTTTCGATAATGGAAGAAAGCATTTCTGTTTGTACACTGTCTACACAATAAATTCTGAAAAACCTGCTTTCATTCAAAACTCTTTGTACGTTTAACATGACTTTTTTTTAAAAAAAAGTTACTTTGATGTTTCGTTTGTCACAAGTTCTGGAACACTAAACTGAAGATGAAAGCTAGAGGCCGTGACAACTTGCAACAGCATCACTGTCACTGCAGTGCTTAAAGATAGTTACTCTGCTTTCAGGTTTGCACCTTAGCAGTGCAGTTCAGAGTATTTGTCAAACAGCAAAACTTGATAAGAGGTTTGAGCTTATTCAGCATATGTTCTGTAATGGAAGTATATGAGTTGTCAAATTGAATCCATTACAGTGGTACCTTGGTTCTCAAACTTAATCCATTCTAGGAGTCCGTTCCAAAACCAAGGCACACTTTCCCATAGAAAGTAATGCAAAACGGATTAATCAGTTCCAGACTTTTAAAAACAACTCCTAAAACAGCAATTCAACATGAATTTTACTATCTAACGAGACCATTGATCCATAAAATGAAAGCAATAATCAATGTACTGTACTATAAAATAAATAAGACAGTATTGTAGATGATAAAAATTAAAATTATTATTATTTCTTACATGCACTGATAGTCATTGTTTGGATGGGGGGCTTTTATCCATTACTGCAGTCACACAATCAATCAGTAGCTGAACTGGGTTCCACACAGTCACAAAAACAAATTAACCGAAAAAGCCTCAAAAATAAAAACGCAACATAAATAGCAAAAACAAAAGCATCAAACTTAATCCATTCTGGAAGTCCATTTGACTTCTGAAATGTTCAAAAACCAAGCCACAGCTTCTGATTGGTGCAGGCACCCTGGAAACAATAGCTGATAGCTGCATCAGATGTTCGGCTTCCGAAAAACGTTTGAAAACCGGAACACTCACTTCCAGGTTTTCGATGTTTGGGAACCAAGTACCAAGGCGTTTTGAGAACCAAGGTACCACTGTAGTATACTGCTAATATAAATATCCTTAGGGCAAGACTGCAAATGAAGAGATTGCTTTTGCATATCCAGTGTAGATATGCTCAGTTGACAGTTCATAGTGGAGAAAACTAGAAAATTATATTATTAGCAAACTATGCACTGATTTAGGAGAGGATATTACCTCTGATAGTTCCTGCCAACCCAGCAGTCTGAAAGCATGCCAAAAAGTGCAAGTAGATAAATAGGTTTGGCTCCGGCGGGAAGGTAAACAGCGTTTCCGTGTTCCGTTGCACCAGAAGCGGCTTACTCATGGTGGCCACATGACCCGGAAAAACTGTCTGCAGATAAACGCCAGCTCCCTTGGCCTGTAAAGCAAGATGAACGCCGCAACCCCAGAGTCGTCTGCGACTGGACTTAACTGCCAGGGGTCCTTTACCTTTACCTTTTTTATTGCCTCTGATAAAAGGGGGATCATGGTATATAATCATCATCATTCCACATAGCCTTTGTGAATCACTACAGCCTTGAAAATGTGTTGTAAGAGACAGCAAGGCAGCCTAGAAGTATTTAAAATAAATAAATATGTAACAGCCACACATTTCAAAATCTCTTTTACTTAATTTCTGGACCTGATATTCTCAAAAGTAAATTTTGATTCATTTAGCTTTAGGTACATGATTTAGCCTACTATAAGGTCTTCCTCTCCTGTATGGATATTGTGTTTGAATCAGATATAGAATATAATGGGAATGAATATATTTATGCTAGACTTGCTGGTGGCTTTTACCAGGACTGCAATTTTTAAATGTAAGGGTTTAATAAACCCTGCTTATAAAGCCTCTTGCATACAGGAGTAATGCTTTTTCTAAGACAGCCTTCTCCAGACTGATGCTCCAGATGTTTAGACAACTATGATGCCATCAGTCCTAGCTATCATGACCAGAGCTGTAGTCAAAACATCTGGAGGACACAAGTTTGGTGAAGGCTGCTTGATTTCTGGCTTTAGGAACACGTAACTTGTATGCATACACACAAGTTTAATGACAGGCGTAAATTTATGCTCCATCAACATTTCTGGAATTGGATTGCAGCTCTAGTTTCACCACCTGAATAGGTAAATTAGAAACATGCAAGGAAGAAATAAAAGTTAAAGCTACAGTGAATTCCCTTTTAAAGTGAGGAGGGATAGACTTAAATAATTTTGGTTTTCTCTTCCATTTCAGCAGCAGTACAATCCAAGTAGACTATAGGCACAAGATAATTGCTTCTGTGAATTCCAGTTAGTCACCTTCTCTCTTCCTTTTTGTTACTATTTGGTCAAAACGTGTTTAGACTAACAATCCAGTCTGATAGTTTGCCGAAACAAAAAGGAAGACCCAAGTATTTTTATTGTAAAGCAAGTGCATTTCAGAATACAGAAAAACATTCAGGTATTTGACCAACACTGATGAAGCTGAAATTTTTGATTGAAGAAATGTCTTCAGAAGGTGTAAAGATTTTCAGTCTTCCCAAGCATCTCCATACTTATTGACTTTAACTATAAAAGAAGAGGCCAGGAGAAGAGAAACATAGTAATGAAGATTAGGAGAAGCAAGGTCTACTGCACTAACAAACGTTTAGAACAGTGTTTCCCAACCGGTGTTCCGCGGCACACTAGTGTGCCGTGGAACTTTGCCTTGTGTTCCGTGGAGGCGGGCGAGTCGGGCGGTGAGAGGCGGGGCGGCGGCGGCGAGCACACGCGGGTGCGGCGAGCGAGCGAGCTCCCACATCCCATCGCCGCTCGCTACTGGGCCTGCGCATCCGCTCGCTACTGGGCCTGCCCCAGGAGGTGGGGTTGCGGGCATCACGCCCTTCCCCACGTGAGCGGGGAATCCCATCCGCCCCCACGTGAGCGGGGAATCCCATCTCAGCCCCCGCGAGAGCAGGGGAATCCCATCCGGCCACGCCTCCTGGCCAGCCAATCGGCTGGCTGGAGGGGGCGTGGCTTGCCCTTTTTAGGGCCGGAGCGGAGGGGGCTCGCCCTCTCTTCTCCGGCTAGCCCCATTGCCGCTCGCTACATCCTATCGCCGCTCGCTACTGGGCCTGCGCATGCTCGGCGAGCACACGCGGGGCGGCGAGCGAGCGAGCTCCCACATCCGACGGCACCAAGCAGGGGCCCTTGGCCGTGCCGGTGCCCACCGTGCCCGCCTCCGCCCAGGAGGGCGGCAAGCAGCCACCGCCACCACCACCCCCGCCGCTGCCCGGCAACCGCGCCGCCGCCCCCGGCTCCCCGCGGCGGGTGATCGTGCAGGCTTCGACGGGCGAGCTGCGAGCTCGGCGGGCAGCGCCTCCGTCCGCAGCGCCCGCCTCGCGGCTCTCATTCCCTGCCCCTGCCAAAGCTCACTCAGCCAAGCCGTGCTCTCCTTCCTGCCTCGCTTTGCTGCCTCCTCCCCCCCCACCCCCAAAGCTTGGAGGTTCCCCGGCAAGGGGGAGGGGAAAAAATTGAAAACTTTCACTTTCGTGCGTCCCTCCCGGCGTGACGCTGCGCGCTGACG